GGCGCCAGCTCCCCCCCCCTGTGGGCCCCGTCGTCCCCGCCGCTGAGCAGGAAGGGCTCCCGGCGGCTCCAGTTGATGACGTTGACGTCCCCATCGTGGGCGGCGGCAGTGGTGAGCATGCAGGCCTTGCTGGGGGCGGCCCGGATGTCCCAGATGCGAATGGAGGCGTCAGCTGAGCAGGAGCCGAATACCTGGAAGAGGAGTCTGAGCGACCGAGGCTCCCTGCACCCCGCCCGAGACCAGATACTAGTTGTGGGCCCCTCACTAGGACCTGCCCCAGCCCCTCCTCCTTTAAGACCCAGGAATCCAGCCCCGTCGGTATGGCTCAGTTGGTTGACTGTTGACCCAGAAACCAAGAGGTCACTGGTTCGATTCCCAGGCAGGGCACAGGCCAGGGTTGCGGGCTGGGTCCCCAGCAGGGGGTGTGTAGGAGGCAGCTGATCAATGATTCTCTCTCATCTGATGTTCCTATCTCTCTCCCCCTCTCCCTTCCTCTCTGATATCAATGAAAATATATATTAAAAAAACCCCAAGACCCAGGAATCCAGCCCCAGCCCTGCCTCACCGTGTCCTCGGTCGGGGACCACTGCAAGTCCTCCACAGAGCGTGTGTGGCCCACGAATGGCCGCTGATCTACATGCCAGGAGCCGCCATCCGTGGGCGTCCAGAGGTGGATGTTCTTCTGACAGTCACCGGTCAGCAGGCGCCCTGGGGGGACGGGAAACGACCTGATCCCAGCTGGCCCAGCGCCCACCCCTGCTGCCGACCCTGCTCCCTCTGGCACCCCAGGACCAAGTGCATACCCCAGGGACTCACCAGGCACACGGGGGGACCAGTCCAGGGCAAAGCCCTCGCCCATATGGCCAGCGAAGGCGAAGATGGGCTTCACGCGAGCCTGCTCGTCCCGGAGGAAGGCGGCCAGGGCCTGGGGGTCATCGACCACCTGAAGAAGCCGCCGCAGCGCGAACACCTCCACCTGGCCCTTCTCTGACCACACCCCAGCCACCGGCTCCTCGCCCAGCCAAGACACCTGCGGGGGGAGGAGGACGGGGAGGTGAGCTGGGAGGGGCAGGAGGCTCAGGTTGGTGACCACAGCTTCCAGCATCCCTGAGAACTAGGACTGCCGACCCTCCCCAACCCCCGGGCTGGGACAACAACCCCCAGAATCCTTTGCAGGAAAGGACCACAGTCTGCAAGACGATCTTGGTACCTGGGACCACTCCCCACCCTGCAGTAGAGGTGGTGGTGGGAGAACAAAGCTCCTTTAAGACTCCTGGGAATGAAGGCTGTAGCCCCCACCAGCCCTCGTCAGGCCCCTGGTCTCTGCTCCCCTCTCAATGTCGGAGTCACAGGCCTCGGGCCTCAGTCCGTTTGCTCACAAGGAGGTCCCGTCCAGCCTCCGGGTTTCCAGCAGCACCTAGCCCCGACCTCCTCCTTGAACTCCGGACTCACCTCACACTGACCATTCAAACTTCACGCGATCAAAGCCAAGCTCCTAATCGCCGACTGCAAACTGCTCCTCCCCAAACGGCAGGACCTATTTCCGACTTGTCTCTTCCTCAACCCGACACCTGTGCTGATTCCAGTAAAAATGCACCGCTTCACCCAGGCAGGTATGGCTCAGTGGATAGAGCATCGGCCGGCGGACCGAAGGGTCCCGGGTTTGATTCCGGTCAAGGGCACCTACCTTGGTTGCAGGCTCCTCCCCGGCCTGGGCCCTGGTCAGGGCACGTGCAGGAGGCAACCAATGGATGTGTTTCTCTCACATCGATGTTTCTCTCTGTCTTTCCCTCTCTCTTCCACTCTCCCTAAAAAAAAAAAAACCAATGGAAAACTATCCCCAGGTGAGAACTGGGGAAGAAAAAAAAAAGCATCACTTTTGTCCCTCCCACCACCCCTGTTGTCTCGCCCGTTGCTACTGATGCCACCCTTCTCCCGAACTACAGCCCCTACAGGACTGCCCGCTGCCCTTGCCTTCCTGCAACCTCTTCTCCACAGAGCAGGTGAGGAATTAAAACACAAGTCAGACCCCACCTTTCCTGTGCTCCAACGTCTCCCCAAGTCCTTACAATGGGCTACAAGGCCCTAAACAATCTGTCTCGCCTGGGCCCACCCCCGGAATCTTGTCGCCGCATCCCTTGCTCATTCTGCTCCAAACACACTGGTCTCCCCAGCATCTCTCAACAACTCCTCCAACATGCCCAGTCCCCCCCAGGCCTGTGCACTTGTTTTCCTTGCCTGCAAACCTTTTCCCACACACCCTTGGCTCACTCCCTCACTTCCTGTGGGTCTCTGTATGAATGGCTCCTTGTCAGTGAATACTTCCCAGGCCACACTATTTAAAATAGCAACCCACGCAGGAACACCCTACACCCTGACCTGACTTTATTTTTTTCCTCTACAACACTTAGCACCTTGACACAGTACACATCTCCTTGTTTTGCTCTTGTCCCCTTCTCCAGCAGCATATAAGCTCCAAGCAGCCAGAGACCTTCTGCTCCCTGTTAAATCCCTAGAGCCCCAAACAGCACCTAAAACACGTTAACACTTCAGTGGAAACGCACAGCAAGAACCACCGGCCAAGCACTGCTCCAAGTGCTGTTTACATGTCACCTCCTTTAACTCACACATCAACCTGATCAGAAGATGCTATAACCCTAAACCACAAGAGGAACCTCAGGACAGTTCCTGAAAAATAACGGAAAACCCATAGACACTCACATTACAGCCAGGTGCTGTTTTTAAGCACCTGAAATAACTGTATTTCAGTTACAGAAAGAATTGTACATTATTCTATGTGATCCTTACAATAGGCAAGTTTTGCAACTCTCACCATTTCACAGAACATAAAAATAAACAAAAAATATAACCTGATGAACAAAAAGATAGATACAGAGGCAGAGAAGCATGGAACAGGCTGTCAAACTACAGCGGGAAGGCTGAGGAGTGTTGGGGGGCGGGGGCTAGGAGATCAACCGAAGGACTTGTATGCATGCATATAAGCATAACCAATGGACACAAGACACTGGGGGGTGGGGGAGGCCGGGGGAATGTCAAGGAGGGGCGGGAAAGGAGACATGTGTAATACTCTTTGTAATACTTTAAGAAATAAATAAAAAAAATACATTAAAAAAAGAAAGAAACAAGGAGGGCCAGGAAAGGGACAAGGGC